GTATCATCGCAAATGGGCTCTTCAAAAAATGTCGAGTCCTGATTATAAGACAGAAATTGGTCTATGTTCCAAGATGATTTCTGCCGATTCTCGCAATTGTTTGTTTGATGTAATCAGTCATCTCGTATAAGTTAACTTGTAGTTCATTGTTGGGGATATTATTTGTGGCTTGTGGACCAAGGCAAAATCAGTGCAAAAGACGACCTTTCTTTTGTTGCTTCAGAGATCAACAACAACTTCAGTAATTACAGTGCGTGGCACAGGAAGAGTGTGATATATAACAAATATAGTGATGAAGATTTCGTACACGTTTTGTCGACGGAATTCTCTCTGCTTTTGAATGCGTTTGTTTATAGAATATTTTAATAGTTCAACAAATTAATATAATAATTCTATTATTTAATAATTATTTTTATTATAATTAATTAATTCACTCATAGATTTTACATTGAACCAAAAGACCAAAGTGGATGGATATATTACCGTTGGTTGATTTCAAGTGCTGTCACTCGCATGACAAAACTCAATTTACAAGATGAACTCATTACAATGTTGAAAGACCAATTCGAAAAGTTGAAAGAACTCGACGAAGTTGAACCGAACTCCAAGTGGGTTGTTTTCACGATGCTGACGTTACAAAATGTGTTAACTAAGTTAGACAAAAATATCATACTTATCGACATTGACAATCAGAAAAACAGCGTCGTTGCACTGAAAGAAGTCGATGCCCTCAGAGCCGGGTTTTATGGGTTTTTGGAGAAAAACATGGGTGTCTTGTTCTAATAGACTTTTTATTATTGTGTTCTAGTATAGGAAATGAATTATAAAATATAGTTTTGTGTTAATTATAATATAGAAATTGTCCATTGATCAAATGAATTAGTTCTTGACTATATCAGTTATGTCAAACTCCTCGCCATTAACAACATTTCCTTCTTTGTCGACGTCAATGAATTGGAGTTTTTGATTTCCTGATTTGAGTTTCGAGCTTCGGAAGAGTTTCCACGCGTCAACAAATTTCCCGTTCTCAAGAGCGCACACGGAAAGTTGTCCGGAATTTGTTTGAAGAGAAGTAGACTTGAATCCCAAACGTTTGCAATTCATGGATGCAGGATTTGGAATAGCAAAGACAACACAAAGAAGTGCAAAGATACAATAAAACATTTTTTTTTTCTAAGTTCGG